CTCATCGATAGAAAAGTCAAGTTACGCCGATATTTGAGTTGATTGGATGAAAACGACGCCCCACTTGCAAACGATTGCCCAGAAATACCATTCGCCAATCAATATTCAGATCGCATATCAAAAAATTTGATTTAAAATCGCATTGAAACCATAAAAATCACTTCTTGGTGTCTGCTCGTTTTAAACGATTTGTGAGGGAGAATTTCAATTGGGACACATGAATATTTTCGTCGAAATGAAATTTAGACCTGCGCTTACGCTATCACCGCCCAACGCGTGTTACGAAAATACTTCTTTTCCAACATAAGCGGATTGTTTTTAGTTCTTTTATTTACCTGTCTCTGAATAGTTTTACTTTCTCAATATTTTAAATTCATACCGAACATTTTCATTTTTGCCAGAATTTCATTTGACAGTCAATAGAAAATGCATGAAAACTAATTGAATTCTTTGAATTCCTCATCATCATTATGATTACCCCTATATTCGTTCCATTAAATCACATACGCAAATGCCATATATGCCATATACAGAAGATTTTAATTGATTGTCATTTCAATTTGACGTGCTTGTCTAGTAATATTCTTTTTCGAGTGTTGAAGCCAACGTTCTAGTTTCGGTTATAATTTATGGTGAGTTATTGGAATTAATGATGACTTTATATCAATTCTAATTAGACATCAACACGTCGATTCTCACACCAATATATAAGAACAGTAAATAGCTGTGAACGTATTAATCAAATGTATGTGTTATTTCAACAGCTTTCTCTGAATGGATAATCACATACGTAAATTTCATTTATAAATTTAACAAGGTTTGTACGAATGATACTTATTTCGAATTATTTTTCTCGCTCTTTCTCATCGAATCACACTCAGATGTTAACAGATATTGAAATATCGATAGTGCACTACTGTTTCTCTCCCACTGATCATAATAAATTATCGTTATTTATAATAATAATAGCATTATGGTGGTATTTGGGCAACATTGTTATAAATGCCTTAACATCAAAGATTCTTATTATGAACATTGAACAATAATAGCGTCAAATGATTATGAGCAAGTGAGAACATCAAAAAATACACTGTTTTTTGGGCCTGTCTTGCGTGATTGGTAAGTGAAATCTTTTTTCAATAATAACTCTTTTATTGAGCTCATTTCTTAACATTATACGTGAATAGAATGAAGCCATTAACAAAATGAGACTTTTGAAAAAAGACTGTCGAATCGAAGTAAGACTAAATTCATTGTTGAGAAATGAAAATCCATACAACGAGCAGACATGATATATGAATGGCTTGTATTAACAAAAGTGGGAAAGTGACGGGCGGACGCGCTGGACAGAGCAAAAAGTAATTAAATAGGATATTTTTTTTTTTCTGTGCTCAAGACTTTACGGAATTGAACGTCAATGCTTAACAATTGTGTGCGGCCACCAAATATCATTGATGATTCGCGTAGAAAACCGCTTGGCTGTATAAAGTCCCACGTAATGAGACAAACATGGAGAAGATATTAAATTTAAAAAATGAATCTTGGCCTTTTCGGAAGACATATTGCCGCCAACAATACAAAATTGAAAATTAATTCCCAATAAATTTTCCTTTAGCTTCCTTTGTTTTGGTATAAAGCGATAAAAAATGCAATGAAAAAGAAATTAAATAACCAATTTATTGTGATTTATTAGTTTTCATTATTGTGGTTTCTCTGCTCGCAACATATTCATTTCTTTTCATTTCATTTGCCTTTAAAACTTTCCCGTTTTATCCGAATATTTGCTATTTTACCACCCAATTTCTCCAGAGTTTTATGGACGAAATTGATGTATGATTTAAGTGCCAAGTGTTCAAACAAGCATAATGTATTTTGCGATTTTCAACTAAACATGCGGCAATTACAAATAAATATCACATTTACATATCTTTATATTTTGATGCTATAACATCAAAAAAGAACATTGAATTTTAAATGTTAATTTATATATTCCCATTTATCGATGACTATGATGATGAAACTGGAAGTTTTACTATTAGTTAGAAGCTTTGGAACAATTGTGCAACCACTTTATTTTTTTGTCTGAAAATTAAATCAATTCCATCGAAAGTCAAACGTGTGTCATAAATTCCATTTAAATCTATCGATTTTATAATTCCAATGAGTGCCACCATCGTAGCAATTCACATAAAATTTCCGTGAAATGATGAACTTATACTTGGCTTTGATCTTATGAATTATTTTTTTCCCTTGGTTAATTAAAATCCCAAAGATTCGTCAGTAGAAAAAAAATTGTTTGCTTTTGTTCGAAGTTAAAATGTTCTTTTTTTCAATTCGCACGACAGGCCTTTTTATTCAAGTTCTGTGGAATCATAAAATTCAATTTGATTGTGTCTGATACATTTGTTTCGCATAGTATACGGTTTCGATCAAACCACCATTAATGTTCGGCCGAAAGAATGATAAAACTTACTTACATCTGTCAATGGCCGTTTTTAACAACGACACACAATCTGACAGCGCAACTAAATGGAAGGATTTTCATCTTATATTTTACAATCAATTAAAATAGCATTCAAAGATAATAAAAATCAATAAAAATTAAATACGTCACATGTGGACTCGAACTGTCTGCGCATATTGAGCAGAAGAAGCGAAAGCTAGAAATCGTTCAAAGGCCGAAAAGTGATGTGATTTCCTGATTTAATGATTTGTTTGATGAATTACAATGCTATAAAGTCAAAACTTCTTTCATTTTTATGATTTCGACGTAGATTATATTGATGTGGTTATGCTGCCGTTGAAGTCAAAACGCGTCTTCAGGTACAGACATGGCCAAATAGTGAACAACGATTATGACACATACTCAAACATTTATTTTCCCATTCCTACTTTCTGTTGTGGACATTTTATGATTCTTGGATTTCGAACATCAATCAATAAAAAAGGGTTCTGTTGATACGTATATGCTTTCGCCATTGTTGTTTTTGTTTTGAGTTTTGTTTTGATATGCAATAAATCCATCATATTGAGTCCACGATTAACGCAATGAATCTTGATGCTATCCATCTTTTCTGAATTCGTTCAATACCAAGCAATAAATCGCTAGCATATCGATATGTACAAACGGAGGAACGTGCATGCTCACATGAACTTGTTATTATGGTTTTTGTTTTGACTACGACAATAAAATCGAATGCATGAAAAATAAATCATCGTCCAGAGCAATCGCTCAAACAAAATCAATCTGAATATGATATATATTTGTCATAAAAGAATTAAAATTTCATGACCACAATTCGAATTCCTTCTATTACTTCTCTCTCGCTTTCAAAAATTAAATTTTTAATTCAAACTTCGGAAGGATTCTCATAGACTTTGATTCATTGTGGGTGGTAAGTTTTTTCTGTTTTGCATATATGCTGATTTTGTCCAAGTGCATCATAATTTGATTGACTGTTCGTCAAATGGATGTGACCCGGGAAAATAAGAACATGTGCATTTGACAAGCACTGTATCTATAACAAATTGCATATATCGTTGCCAAAAGAAAAACGCGTCGCTTCATTTTTCCTATTGATAATAAATTTATCCTATTATGTATTATATATATTACAAGTACATACAATACGTTAAGTTGAGGGATCAATTATCGAGAATGAATTCCATTTTTTGTCCATGAAATTGAAATGTTTTAGCCAATCAAAAGTGATAATTCCCTTTATTATGCGTAGTGAAATCAATTACACGATTAATTAATCGCCACGTGCGCTTGAAACAGTTGAAATCAGTTGTACATATTAGGTTGGGCGTTTGCGTGATTCACCCTGTCTTTTATCGAATAAATAAGCATGTCCATCAGAAATAACTGCTGGCAACAAAATCATCGCATCAAATCCGATTTGTAATGCATTGCCGTTTATGTTAATTTAGTGAAATGGGGATATTTTGTGAGGTATTATATATGGAATAATCTCAATGCACTTGCAGTTGCACTCAAAACCATAAAATTGTACTGTAAAACCACCTCAGTGAGCTGAACGACTTAAGAACAAAATATGTAAAAATAATCCATTGTTGCAGTATGTTTTTTATTTGCACATATGTGACTGAATATTGAACGAGTAGAGTCTGTTGAACTACTATTGAATGGCCACAATTTTTCTCCTGGTTGATAAACCAGCGAGATGCAATGTAACAGAAAAAGAATCACATGAAATCAATACAAATTCCAAAAAAAAAAATAACTGCTGAAAATAAGAAGGATTTCTTTACGCGAATGATGACAAATAAATACAATACAACCGAAAGGCACGATGCTACTAAAGACACTCCCCTCCGAAAGATAGTCTTTTGTTGTGTACCTCTGTATCTTTCCGGGCGGTTTATTGAATTAAATGTATGTGCGAGACAGTTTTGATGACGGCGACAAAGAATAGTAAGTATTATATATTTGATTATAAAAGCTGTTCTCAAAAACCGGCGCATTCAATGGAAAACAAGGAACTGTGTTATATCGCTTAGAATATGAAAAAAAAGGGGGACGAAAATATGTGTGACCATGGCTTTTTAGCAAGGGATGCAGCATATCAATCGTCGCATATTGGAACATATTGCAAAAAAAACAAGATCCCCTCAATAAAATACTCTGTGTTGGAAAGTAAGCATCCGTGTGGGATGATAAAAGTCATATATTCCACATTGTTCGGGCTTTAGATTGGAAAATCGTTGAATGAAAAAACCATAGAAAAACGAAATTGTCCATAATATGAGATACAATAAATGTTGCGGTCAATTGGTTCAAACTCTCACAATTTTGCCCCTCTTGAACCATTTCAAAAATACAGCATGATACCTTCGCAAAGAAGGTGTTTAAATTAATATTTGATTATTATCTCTCTTTTTGTAATTCAATCAAATGCGAAATATGAACGGAATTTCATTAAATTGGATGAACAATTTTACAACCAGTAATGCTCACATTTTTTGTTTTTACTTACCTTAACTTGTGACTCAGTCATTCCTAACGCGTAGGCTAGCTTCGCTCTTTCTGGTCCAGCCAGGTATTTTGTTTGTTCAAATGTTTTCTCCAATGCAAAGATTTGTTGTCCGCTGAATGTTGGCCTCGTGTGCTTCTTTTTGCCATCTTTATCGGAATTGTGGTGTTGGGAAAGGCCTGCAGACACTGAAAAATTGGATTCAACATATTTTTTTTTCTTCAAATTTTCATTCGTGGTAAAATCAGGATTTAAGGGTCGGTTTTATGTCGACAGAAAGTTACGGAGAATTTGCAATTTGACAGTGATTCTTTAGACAAGAACAACTTGTATGATAAGCCGACAACCATATGTGTGTGCGTTCGTTGTAGAACAACGGCTGTTGTACACACTGTATCGTTATTAAATAACAAACGAAGGATACATAATGCAAGTATTCTAAAGCTATATAAATATTCTCTTTTTATGCTAATAGACTGGCGCGTGTTCCAATTCGCTTCATATTCAATGTTCACCTGACATATGATAAGGCAAGCAGACAAGTGTATCGTGGTGATTCAATTGAAACACATGTGTTCAATGTTGAACATCTTTAAATTCATTCAGTTTATTCACAATGTAAGTGTTATGCCTCAATTGGCTTGAGTAAAATATGTCATTGGCTTCGTTGGAAGCGAAGGATTGGGCTTCGGATAAAATGCACACGAGTATACATAATGGGTGATTTTCCGTACGTGATATGAAAGCCTAAGTAATTGCAGCGTCAAAATGTGGAATCGTTGTTGTGTACGAAAACCAGGATTGATTTCAATATACATTTTGTCAACATCATGCTTTTGGTAAACATATTTATTTACACGCATTTTGTTGACGCATGCAATTGTTTTGCTTACGATCAGCGAAAACGGTTGTTCAGATTTTCGCGCCCAATCATCACTTTCTCGCACGATGAGCAAACATTCATCCGACACAGACAAAATCTATTTTCATGAATTCTATTTGATTTTTGGGGCTTATTATATTTTTGGATAATTTTCGTTGATAGATGTAGCAAACGCTGGTTTCCTTTTGGTTTATTCATATTTTTGTAGCGTAGATAAAAGAAATTACGTAGAGCACTGAACTGCAGCACGCTCGATATAATTTTTGATTACACAGGAGATTGAAGTGTAGTATGTGATTGTAGATGACATGGATATGCGAAGAGGACAAAAATAAACAAAATAACAAATGTGTAATGATGTTGTTTAACAAAATAAACAATTTAGCTGTCTACCCAATAGATTTAGTTGTGATGATGCCCAATCCTAGAAATTCAAGCGCATTCTGGGTATTGGTTTTATTTATCATAGCAATATTGCTAACAAATGAAGGCGAAGAAAAAAAAATTACATCAATGCTCGCTCATAACAACTCCATTTCGTCCAAATTACCAGACACAAATAACGTTCTTTTAACTTAGTGTATATGCAATATGCAGTGTATAAGACTCATACTATGAGTGTCTTGTAAATTGTAGTACATTTTGGGAATGTGAATGCCTAAAGGAGTTTTTCCACTCCATATGAACTGAACAAATGACAAAGAAAAACATTTTATTTGAATTTCAAATGATTTTCATTCGTTCAGATTTAGATACAATATGTATTAAGATGGATCACAAAATTGATCCAACAAACTTTCCGATAACGAAAATCCACTGAAGCGTGGAAAAATCTGAGCCGTAAAAATACACGAACACAACCAAAGCGACATTGCATTCGTAAATAGAGACGAAATTATTTTACATAAATTTACTTTTTTCCGAATTGTTAAAACTGGAGTGGTCGAACAGTTTGAACAATCCAACCGCAGTAAAAATATGCAGTGGATGGAGAAAAACTATAGTTGTATCCTTAAAGTATCTATGCAAAGATGGGATTTTGTCAAATGTGCCATATTTGGATTGAGTCGCGTGCTGTTTATATTATTTTATCGCTTTCCCCGTTTCAGAGAATAGGTATTGAATTATTATTATTTCACATCAGAGGATTGGTCAATATAAATTTCAGATTATTCCTCCCAGCAATACAAAATTAGAATATGTTCTTGTACTATATATGTCTTAGCAGTTCCAAGTATTCTATATATTTAACAAGGACTTTTTATAGTACAAAGGCAAATCAAATATATTAGCTTTTGAATCAGTTTTATGACACAATGTGACACAAATTTTTCATTACAATTTTAAATTTATTCAACAAATGGAAAACTTTGTCAGAAGAATTACTAAATTCCTTTATTTCCGCAGGTAATAAAATTTATGAGGTAATAATAAAAAGTTGAATGAGGTTCATAATTTTAATCATTCATTCCATTTATCAATTTGAAAAAAAAGGAATTTGAAAAATTAAATATTTGAGTGCGATATAAAAAATTTGCGTCACTCATTTCGATTTTTAATTCAGTAAAATTGCTCATACAATGTTTTCACGATATTTTATTTTAATGCCTCCACCAACAATGTTATTGTTAGACAAAAAAGTATATATAAATGAAAATTTTGAATGCTCAAAAGACATTTTGAAGTTCAAACGAGTACGTTTTTGATATTTTAATGGTGTTGAATAATATTGCAAAACTGTGTAACCAAATATCAAAATCAAAACAATATCGCTCAGATTGTTTGCATAATTATCATGCACCATCACGTTCAGCATAAACACATTCTGTTGCGACGGTGTTCAACTAACGTAAAATATGTGCTTATATGAATCAGAGGCCCAGACACATTAAATTGACATTATGATGTTGACGTTTGCATACATTTATCAAAGAAAAAAGAGACACAACAATGCACAAATGGTACAGCAGTTTAGTCGGCTACCGTGGTCCGTAACAGAGCCAGCACTGTATTTTGGTGTACGTTAATGCTGAAGGTTTATTGTTAATATGACATCATATGTCGATAATGATGCCAATGAGCTGACTAATGATCGTTGAATGATGCAATTAAACTGAGACCATTCGTTCATATGTTTTGCATCACATTGTTTCACAAATACCAAATCCTTGCATGCGAATACATATATTGAACTCAAGAGACAAACTGAAATATAACCTAATATTTTCACTGGGATTCATATAATTTTTATATTCCGTCGGTTTTTTGCATTTGAGAGATTATAGTTGAAGTTTGTTACTTTTTACATAAAGAAGGAATATTTGAAAAAGTTCCTTTTTTGTATATTATCGTAACACGTGAAATATTTTTAATTCAGTTTGATATGCACCATGGGAATCGTTAACCGCGGCTGTTCTCTACCATCGCCCCGTTATAAAATTTATTAAATATGAATTGCTATTCATTTAAAATTTAAAAGCCACCATTTAAAACCAACAAAAAATTGAACGAAAATGTGGTTTTCGGTATTCCATATTCTACGCTTAACTAGTCACAGTGAACGATGAAACATTGCAACAATAAAAGCACAATTTTTTTCATTATTGTCATTATTGTAACGTGAATATTTTTTTTTAACCAGGAGTGGGTATTAACCTGTAGATGTCAAAATGGAAATATTTTTAAAATCTAAACTAGATGTGTAGCCGAAAAAATTTAAGACAACCACATTTCACTACTCATATTTTATCGTATGTTTGATGAATTTGTGTCACTTATAGATGTTATAGCTACTACAAGTAATAAAAGTAGAATACAATGTGCAACTCCATTCTCATGAAATTCATTGACACTTTATTCCTACAATGTCGTATGAAATTTTGCGGTTCTATTCATATCGCCTGTTTTATGTCCCTGATATAATTTGTCGTCATTGTATTTAAGGTTGCTTTAATGTTGAACAAAATGTTTTCCGTGTACACTGCACAAGAGAAGAACCCAATGAGTTTGATGCCAAATGTTACATTCATTTGAAACAATAAAAACGGCTGTGGTTCATTTTGCGATTCAAAACCAGCGTAAAATTGCACGTAGAAAATATTCAAAAATATGGAGTAACCGCTCACAATTGGCCATATTAAATATATAAACGAGAAAATTAATTACATCAAACCCTTTCAGTGGAACGTTTCAATTGCATATTCAGTGTAGCGAATTGGGCACCGAATTTAAATGATTATAGAATGGACAAATATACAATGTTCCACACCAAACATATTTTGGTTCACATCCAAAACCTCATAAAAAAGGACGAATACAAAATATCTTATCAGTAGATAAATTGCATAATTTCCAAAATTGTTTTTGATCCATTCATCTATGCGTGCGTATTCTGCACTATAAGCGAAATAAGCGACTTGTTTCCACGATTTGTTGATGATAATTGGTAAGGAGCCGTAAAATATAAAGTCAAACCAAAATGAACGTACGCACTTAAGGGAATTGCTGTTTATTATTATCATCATCTTAATTGCTGTGGTTCAGCAATGGATCGAACGTGTGGTGTCGAAAATAATTTAAACATTTAACGCAGTTCACCACACTTATTTATTGCACGTTCGTTCGCTCGTTTGTTCATTCGTATATGTTTCATGGCGACAACCCTTTTCTCGGGTGCGCCTTACATTTCATTAGCTCAACGAATTGCGTTTCGACACATCTTTCAATACAGCATACAGGGTAAATACACACTGACTGTATTTCTTACGTTCGATTTAAATCATTTTTCGGCCTCCTGCTTTCAATTCATTCGTTTGGAAATGGTCGGAATCTTTACATAAGTGGTAAATATGGGCGTTTAAGTCACTTGAGCTAGAATCAAATCCTAAATGAACCGGAACGAATCGAAGCATAGATTATTATTACCAAAGTAATTCTTATCAAGATATTAATGAAAAATGGTGCGCAAAATGGGTTCTGTTTAGCGTGCTCGTGAATTATCATCTGAATGGACAATATCTGTATTGTTTCAGTGTCATAGAATTCACTATCAGTTTCTTTTTTTATAGAGATATTTCTTATCAAATATTAATTAAATTTTGAAATAAAAAAAAACGATTCGCAAAACTGTTTCCGGAATGAAATGGTGTGCTATCAAGATCGGTAAATGATAACGTACTTTAAATTAGTTAAAATATGAGTATTTTGAGAAGAAAAAAATGGTTCACGTTATCTAGCAAAAGAGTCACAAATAAGGGGAGTGTAAAATATTCCAAAGACAAACTTCGCCTCAATTAAGTGCTTATTTCGAAAAGGGTTCGCCAAAATTAGTATTCCAAATACCAAGGAATCGGTTTAGATATGTTGCAATTCGAAGAGTCAAGTCTTAAAGTAGTTTAAATTTTCTCGAAAACTATTTACTATTCGGATTATGGCCTTATTAGGTATGTAGAAGAAATGGTAGTTCGCCATTTATTTTCAATTAAAAACATCGTTTAATAGATTAAATGACGGAAATGGTTAGCTCACGTAAATATTGAAGAATATTTACTGAACAAATAGGCCGAATGTTTTCTTGATTAGACCAAAACTCAATTTATTTGGCGCGGCAACTACAAATTAATATCAAATAAAATTGTTTTATTGCCGATTCAATTTCTGTAGCACGAACTAATGTTTTAGCACTGAAATGGACATGCATACGATTCAATATTCATTCGAATCACATAAATTTTCGGAGAAGATACCAGTGATATATCAGATAGAATGATGATCACTTGGGATTGTTGCTTCTGTAATAAAATGGGCATTTTTCTTTCAGTTGCAAATACACACACATACACGATATCGCCGTGTCCTAGTTATATTTTGAGTAGCCTTACGAGAGCGGAATTGATCCTGAACCACACTTCAATAAGTTTCAACATGTTGAGCATTGTTTTAACGAGCAATTTTTATTACCTCATAACGCTATGCTTAATTGGCATCAACAATTCTTTAATGACATGTTTATTTATTTGCGATTGATGGCCACTTCAGGCGCAGTTTCGTTTATAGCTCACAAATGACTACTTGTTATTTTCTTCTATAAATTTGAATTTTTTAGTAAACTATTGAACTAGTCAAATTTCGAAGAAATAAATCCTGACAAATCTCTAAACAAAAAATGAATCTTGAAAATGAATGGAACTGATTGAACAACGTTGTTTGTATTTTTAGATATAGTAAACAATGAATGATTTCTTTTTGTATAGTATGCTAAAATCAAGTACATATGATTTGTAAAATGTTACATGTATAATTTATACATACAACACTTATACACACAATGTGGCAACATAAAACTTGCACGCGGCCTGGTCTGCTGGCATTTTGTGCACATTGTTTTTGATAATATGATAAAATGGCAGTATTTCGGATTCGGCTTTGCCTGTGATTTCGGAGTGTATTTTTCCATATATTTATTTATAAACGTTGCCTTCCTGTTCTGTTTTTCCCTCTTTACGATGTCAAAATTTGTATGTACTTGTAAAACTGAAAAAAATATATCAATGGGCTTCTTGTACTCATCAACTATGTACGAGTATATAATAAAATTGTATCGCATGTATTGTATATTTGAGGAAGCCACATAGAGAGCGATGCCGAAACGGGAGAATATTATCCTCCAATATATTACAATCATTGGGTGTTTTAGCATTTTCTCGCTTGTCGTGGAGAAAATCTTCCGTATTCAACGCCTTTCTTTCCGGCCACTTAATGCGTTAACGCTGTGGAAAGGAGAGACTTCCATTGCTGAAAAAAGCATAGAAAATACGCAGCTCGTGCGTAAAAATGAATACGAAAAATTCGCCCGTTATTATGGTAGATTTTTTCGCTTGTTATTTTTGCAGCCAAAAAAATGGAAAACTTTACTGTTTGATGATGTTATATTCTCTTACATTTGGTGCCTGGCTTATTATATATATAAGCAGCTTTGCTGTACATAAACAGCCATTATTATCATGTAAAGACAATAATATGTCGCCGTGTGTTCAACACACGAATGAATGTTCAAACACAGGCAAAACGTTGACACATATAGAAGAGAGAAACTGAATTCGTAGCCAGGATAGATAACAATTCACATTAGCTTGTATACACCATTGCACATACAATAAATGTTTGAGGTTTATTTACAAATTTATTCGAGCAAATTTTTTGCATCGAATAAACATAAATGTTTCCCCTTTCTATCGATCCACGGGAGTTGAAAAAAACAGGGAATACAAAAACCAAATTCTTTAAAATGATCTTTGATCATTATTTAGAGAGTGTGGTTCTAAATCTAAAATTGAGAGAAAATAAGATTCCTCCAAAATATGTTTGGATTTTCAAGTGTCTCCTGGCCGTCGGTATATATACGTTATATGTATGTAACGTATTTTTTTTCATTTAACATTTTTAGCTTTTATTTCGCAATGTAGTTTTTTGTTGGTTTCATTATCGCATTGATGATAATTTTCAATAACATGATATAATTAGTGTTTTACATTAATGTATGGTTATCGTTTGGTTGATAAGAGTCAAGCAATTGAATTGCCTCGTGTGCTGGCATTATTCACCGTTAATAATATTAGAATACATTGATATGCAATACTGTAATAAAATGACTGAAACATGGGGCAATGATATAAATTTTGTTATGTTATGCTGGGCTGTGGTTAGAATAGACGCCTTTGAAATGAGTTACACACAATTATAAAAAAAGATTCATTGAGAGCCACGCGTCGTTATTTGATTTCGACGCATTTTAGTTTAATATCGCAAATTAATTAATGGTATGATAGATAATTGAAGCAATGGTAATGAAAATGGATGAAATTTAATCAGATGATCAATTCTATCAATAACTTACTGGAATTAGTCAAACGATCACGCCATGCCATCGGATTGGTAACTAAACCTTGCAAACCTGGCCAATATAGATGCGGTCGATCAACCAGTGAACCTGAGTGTCCTTTCAATTGTCCATTATGACTTTGAGATAAATATTGAGCCATATTCGCAGCCGCTGCCGCTATTGAGAAACGAGGCATCGTTCCTTCAGAAACAAATTTGAAAGCGTTTAAATTTATTAGGAAATAATATTTTGAAATAATAAATGATCTTGGTTAAATTTTTTTAAATTCCAGAATAGATGCACACAGGAGAAACCAAATGTAGAATCCATTGCTTACCACTAGTTAAGGCATTTAATCCTGCTGACGTAACTGGTGGCGGTCGAGAAAGAATTGTGTCTATTCCATGGGGATTTGAACCATGTGAACTGAGCTGCGATTGTGTCTGCTGGAAACTATTGGAATTGGTCGTATTTAGAGCTGAATTACCGGTATTCGATTTCATTTCCGTCATTGAATGAAGAGCAGCCAATGGTGGGCCCAGAAAACTCAATGGGAGTTTATGATGATCCAACATATTGTTCGATTTCTTTGTTGCCGTCGCTGTGGAAGATGATAGGTTTTCAGGACTTCGTGAGCCCACACTGTCACACTGATGATTTGGTCCGTAGTAATCACCTTCGTCACTTTTTTGACTTGTTGGATATGATCGTGAACTGTCACAACGCTGTGTTTCAGGACTTTCCGAAAAGCGACGATTAATGTTTACTAACGAACTATTACTGTTGTGATTATTATTTAATTGTAATTCGCTATTTTTTTGGCTTGACGGATGTCTTTCACTCAGAATATAGTCACTATTATTTTGATGGTTTTCGATTGCTGCTTTAATTGCTGACGCAGTTGTCGTATTATTATTATGGTAATAATCACTACTCAAATAGGCATCACGTGTCGGTGGGCTACTACGTGCCGACAAATATTTATTTGTATTAGTCGGACTACTACTGTTAGTGCTGTAATTTTGTTGTAATGCACTCAATGAATTTGCACTGTTTTGATTATTATTGCTGTTGTTGTAATTGTTGTTGATAGTATGGATGGACGTTGGCGACGGATGCTCTATGAATGATTCTGGGCTATGATCACGATAGTTATCAATGTGCGCAGCACCAAACGTAAATCCATGGGCACCTAGAAAACCGGGCGAACGAAACGCAGCCAGATTAAGGGCGTGATGAGCGGCGGCCGACGATAACGGCGTGAAACCGTTAGCACTATTTCCAAATGGTGACGTTATGAGCTTCGGGCTATCTGAGCCCGTAGTATGTAAGAATGGACTACCCAGATTGCTGATGATTTAAATTTATTCACAATTCAAATACCCTCTAAATTTTGTAGCAACTGTTTTACCGCAAAAATCAAACACTATCTTCGTTTCAAAATGTGTACAGCTAATGCTTTCGGTTCAGTTATTTAACAATCATAAGCCTGATCTGTACTGTGTTTTCATTCAAAAAAATGTTTCACTTATAGAACAACTATTGAAAGTTTTCTTATAAAAATTGAGCGCGAATTCGAAATAACACTTCACAATGATTTCAAATGGAACATCAATCTATATGATTTTTCACGACATTCAAAATCAATTTTTTTTACCGAAATTCGTTTCAAATCACATCTGAATAAATATTTTAGCAAAAATTGTATTGCACAAACTACAATTTTTTTTCACTTAAAAAGATATCCAAAAATTCACAAGATCAAAGAAAACGCTGACCGTACATGCAGGCCTATAGCGAGAGAATGATTTTCAAATTCGATTTACAAACTGATTTGACTTGCGAGTGAGCAAACACGTTTTCAACGCGTTCATTTGAACTTTACTTTTGTTCGTCGAAAACATACATTTATACAATACAATATACTAGCGACACACGCAAACACATACAATAAAATAAAATGTACACAGACATACTCATGTAGATACAAAGCATACACACGAATACTTTAGTATACATAGCACATAAAGAGAGGAGTGCGGATGGTATAACCACGGTAAACAAAAAAAATGCATACCCGAATGAACTCACAACGATAATACCGAAATAATCATAGCACCAAGTTCAAAGCAAAAGTGCAATCGAAATCAAAAGATGATGTTAGCTGGCTCATTTCTTCCCTGTCCTGCAGCGAAGGAAAAAGAATAAAAACTATGTTTTTATTCGAAAAGGAAAACAAACACACATTGACTGAAATTGGTACATACTCAAATTCATATATGTATGTAGGTGGAAAAACGGAATCGAGCGTAAGTGCGACAAAACAATAGAAAACGACTCCTAGCAAATCAATTGCACATATACCAATACAGAAGCTGCGGCTGATGACGGAATAAGTTTATTATTGCTGGGGTATTTTTGTGAACGGTATGGCGAGCGAGACGGAAAAAGAGTTTCGCGACTGTAATACTGATACTCAAAACCATATAAAAACCATACCACTCGCCTCTGAGACTAGCGGAAACGATGGCTACTATGGATTTGAATTAAACATCGTTTTAAATTATATTCGACGCGTGCAAACATGTACTCGATATCAAAAAAGGACTTCCATTGGATTACGGAAAAAACTGAAGTGAACGCGTTTCAACAAACGATTCGTCAACGCCCATTTCTTATTGATAAACACACACAATTTTCAGCCGAAAGAGGCGGAGTTATACGGGTTTGTGTGTGCGCGCGTGCAAATGAACGTGTGTGTTTGTTAGAATATATGTGCCGTTGTGTAATGGTATTTCTTTTTTCATCGGTTTGGCGGCTAAAACGGAGTTCATTATTCCGTCTCATTCTTTCGGTTAATAAAATTATTTTCTACTTTTGTTAATAATCTTCGCTTACAAAACAATTTTATTACAGCGGTGGCTGTGAAAACCAATACGAAATACATATTTATAGCTTGAAGCGTTACAATGTAATGTATGCCATTCGATTGAGCCTCTGTCCACATTGCCATTTATATATATTTGTCGATAGTAGAGGCAGCTTTGGATGCAAAAAGCTCGATAAAACTCATCCAAACCTTGACTTGAAAAATAGAACGAGTGATTAAGATGATAATGAACGAATTCTAACGTGTGGATACATTTTGAAGATTCTGCAACATCAAGCAATAAAAACGCACCAAACAGCCTAAGATATACTCGTTAATAATAATTATTACATATTACAAGCTTGCCTGAGACTGATTATTTTCCTATGAAAGAAATGTAAAAATTATTTTGTCATTTTGCATGCCATATGCTGACGAGGACAAGGCACATGATTGTTGCAACGGCAATGAGGTCTCTTATTCCCACTTATTTATGCAATATTATTTTACACAATCGATAAAACATTTAAATCAAGTAATGCAATAGACATTACCACAAAAATATTGCAGTGTAAGTATGTTTCTTGCTTTTGAATTAAATGGGAAACATTCTTAATCTTTTCTCGGTAAGGTTACTGGAGCGGAGCACCCACATTGATTTTAAAATAAAATGCAACATACTTTTATAAAAATAGATTAGAGGGTTGGAAATTTTTCGTTTAAAATGAATACATTTAAAGGTTGAAGGGCAACGCAGTCTGTTTAATTAAGTTTTAATCGAAAAGCAAGAGCCAGCATGCGGATCCAATTAATGTTGATGAATTTATTTTGGAATGAATTTTTAATTTATCTACCCTTTCTGCCAAAAAATGCTGTTGATTTTGTCGTGGAAAGTAATTAGTCAAAGGCTTTGTATGGACTAATACGGCGCAACGAAAAGCAAAATGCTTGCAATTTTCAGTTGAAATATTGAATGGGTAAAAGCACACGTATATTGACACCCGAAAAAGAAACAATTACAAAAAATTAAAGTAGCAAGATTAACTCAAAGTCAATGGATCTGCAGATTTAATAAACACAAATGTAAACTCAATCACAATAAATAACAGTTCCAAAGTCATTGATGCTATTGAGAACGGTCAACCGGATGTCCTGAATGGTCTGACACATCTTTTGTTAGGAATTCAGGTAAAAGTAACGTATTTCGATTTTAGTTCCGAAATGAGTTCCAATCGACTCTGAGTGTACGTGTTTTCATTCATAAAAATATGCCTTTTGTGATGATGAGTATGCTGTTTGTGTAGCTCAATGCATCTTCTCTCTCTCTCTCTAATTCATTGGTTTGTATTTGAAACGATTTTTTCAATCAATTTGTTCGAGATTTTCGGATTTTCTCTTCCACCATGACATTCGACAAAGTCAATTGTTGCTCGAAAATGCCTTTGTTTCCTTGTGTTTGTGACTTTTTTCAGCTTTGCCATTGTTTGGTGAATAACATCAAAGCATCAAAGAATAAATAGCCTGCAAAACTATTTTAACAACATTCTATGGGGTGTTCATTATATGCACATATGCACACAAATTAATAATGGAAATCACGATCCTATTAAAGTTTATATGACATTTATAAGCGATGATGGAATGAAAAATAAAATTGAAAAAATGAGGAAATGAGATATGAAAGTGAACTAGGAGAAGAGCAACTGTGTGTAATTTGTTGTTAGTCATTTAAATGGTACTAGTTAGGGTAAGCTATTAAATCGTTTAGGTGAGCATGTGTTTGTAAAATGAATACGACACACAATAGCACTGTCACATGTATTATGGGTAGCGATGCACAAGCATTCAAGCCATCAAATATTTATACGCCAGATTTTTTTTCCTTCAGATTGCATACGTATAATATCTACTGCGTTGGGTAACTTTCGGATCGAATGTCTGTAGTGCGTACTATTTTGGGACTGTTGTTTGTCCTCGTTGACGACTTCACATCGACAACCATAATTGATTGGGCCAAAGCGTATTTATAAACCAATAAATCTGGCAAAACGATTAAAATTTGTCTCTTCCTTTATTTTCTCAAACGTTGACTGTACTCGCAATCATCCACACACAAAAACGTATTTATGATGTCCCTGCTGTGTGTATTTATATATAAAACGCATACGCTGCACTAAGATCTGCAGTGAGAATAATTCTATCTGCGTTTTATTGGGATCAATTACAATTCAAGCTTCTTATTGTTGCCTGTTTAATTGTTTGTTTAATTCAATTTGTTCACGATATACAAATAGACAAAAGTGAAAAGGTGCAAATAACGGTATTTTTTTAGTTTACTTATGTTTATTTTTATTTTTTTTTTAATATCATTGGTGCATGTGAATGAAGAATTGGCATGTGTATTGCACTCATTTATACTTTTCCAACACTTTTTCTTTTTGCAATTACAAAACGCGTCACTTTGCCGCGCATTTTATTTTCTCGATCAATTGTATATACTCCAAACGTAGCGAAATATTCGCAGCATTGTCAATATCGCAAGCAGAGAGAATGAGAGAGAGTGGAAACGAGAGATTCATCTGACATTCATATCCATCATATTCAGTTTAAAATCTTCGAACAATAAATAACACAAGTCACATAAATAGCACTACCAGCTAACGCGTAAATCAGAAATGGTATGCGTGTGTGTCACACATAAATATATTGATTTCAAAATGGTTTTATGTGTGGTAGAGACTGAGATGAAAAACCACCAAATTTAAACATATTTGACGTCTAGGTATGTATATATCGAAAGCATTTACACACTTATCCGCTGAGACTATCTGGGAGAGAGAGAAAATGCTACATAATACGGATACAGTGTATAACCGAACGTAGCAGCGAGTGTGATGAATTTAACAGCGATAATCGCATTTTGATTGGGTCACAAAGGCGTTACCTTTCTTGCAATTGGTCACAACATGTTCATATATTCATAAAATTATATAAATTGAATGGTATTTCTACTGTATTACTATTGTAATTATGTTCATTGAAGCCAATCTGTTCGTATCGTCCCACTTATTCATACAATAAGTGAACGGTTTGCATTCACGGCGCTGCTTTTCCTCATTGATTTGTTTGAATTTTTTTTCCAAAATATTGTGGTATGTTCTATTCGAATGACTACTTTTCAAGTAATTTCGCAGATCAAACGCATTTATTTGAACGTTCCAAGAAAATGGATAAATACAAATGACAAATTGAAAATTGTTATAAACCGAATATAATGTTCGCATTTTTTGAAGTAATTTTAATTTCCATATCAAACAAACTCTTGACTCACCATTCTTAACACATACAAACGATTAAGGAATTATTACAAGTGGCAACGTTACGTTGTATTTCATTTGAAAAATTTGAACAATAAATTACAATACAATGAATCAGCATCGAACGGATCACAGCAACTTGGTGATTGAAGAAAAGTAATGAGAAAGAAAAATTTAACTAACTCAATGAATGTATTACATGTGCTTTTCGTATTTTCATTTAATTTATGTATCAAATCAGAGGCATGCCAAACCGAATGCAGCTCACCAAAGTACTGCACCATTTGAATTTAGCGCGGCAATAAACTAATTCAAATTGAAAATGTTCGAACTGAATTCCAATAAGAAAGTCATAATAAAGTTAAGAAAGAATGATTTATGATTTTTAATTTCGGCGAAGTTTTTCTCAATTTTTCATATAAAAAAACGACCACTTATTTTTCTGAGTACAATGCAGTCATTTTTGGGAACGATTTCCATTCCTGAAATTAGAATGGGAAAAGCATTTACATAATATCAATTGAAGCAATTATTATAGTTGAACAAACAAAATTTCTTCGAATTGAATCTCACACGACTTCCTTACGACATCAAACTAAAGCATTGATATTCAGTTGTACTATTTCACATCAGAAATGTGTGTGCAAATGAACCGTTGCAACAAAATATACCCTCAAAATATTATAGTTTTAAAGTGCAATATAATTATTTTTTCATATAGAGTTGTTCTTGTAAACTCTATATGGGTAAATCCCCAAAATATATGAAAATCTCTACAAAAAATCAAATATTTATCGCAAAATCCTCCCCGAAAAACACTATCACAAACACTATTCGGCTACAGCAGGCGCGAGTGACGAAAGCACCCTAGGGCTGAAAGTCGAACTCGCTATATATACACGCAATTTCGAACTTTTTTACAAAGAGAGCAACTGGCATGAATGAAATAGCAAGAGAACATCTGGCGCAAAGGCCCAGAAAATGCATTCAAACTTGGAAATGGACCAACCGTCTCCACAGAAATGACGAATGAATGAAAGATGAAGGCACTAGTCAAGTTGAAGTAGAATGGCTCCAATTTCTGAATACAGATTGTTTTGAAATCGGTCTATCCGAACACTATTTCTTCATGGAATATGACATGATTGAATAAACGAATAACTAAAATTTACGTTTTAAAAATACGGCCGTTAAAAATACCTTATCAATTATTTTAATGTCTTTTAGAAGGAAGGTCATTTTTTGAATTTTCAGAGGCCAGTCAAATCAAAAGTTTAAGTTAGTGGTCTAGATTTAGTTAGTGGCTTCATCTTTCATTCATTGCACTCATGCAAATCACGTTGCACTTTAAAACTAAAATATTTTGCGGGTGTCTTTTTATCGCAACGGTTCAAATCTGTAGCATTTATATCAACTTGTTATTGTTTAAGATACGATTTCTACGACCTATTTTGCGTAAATAATGTGAAACATAAGATCGAAATTTTCCCCAAATTCTACAAGAAAATCGAAGTGAATTAACCAAAGAGAGAGATTTTCAGAATGCAACGAAGATTTCGTAGCGAATTATACATATGGTCAACCGAAAAAAATATTTATTTCACCGCCTTATAAAAATGTGTTTTTTTTTCAATGGGTATTGGGTATGTGATAGTCCACAGAACCCGATCACTAACCAATGTTGCATGTAACCATAAAAAAATTCCGTTTTGATTGTTTAGGTAGAAAATGGAACTCTTTTTGCTATTTAATAATCATAAGTCTAAGAAAATCCCCTCTCGCTTTATTTGAGTGTCATTTGTGCAAATCGAAATTGAACAGCCAAAAGTGATCAATTTAAATCCAATTTCGGAAAGGTAATAACAACACATTCAGTTGCCGAATCAGACACCAGATAAGCTTATTGCTTGATATTCAGGCTAAACAAAAAAGGATAGAATGACGAAAAATGTTGTACACTAAAGGTTGAAAAAAATCCAAAATACCGCATATGTGTGGGCTGTAAAAATAAAATTGATACGTAAATATGTTTCCTTTTATTTTTATTTATATTTTTATTGCTTTTCGTATGATATTACAATGCTATAGCACGTGAGTCGCCTGATTTCTTGTTGGTTGAATGATTTTTCATGAATTTCCATTGGCCAAACCAACGATAAAAAAATCAAAAATGATATTTATTTCAATTTCACGTGTGCAAATATACAATATTCAAAGGCTTTTTGGACAAATGCACATTATGTTAAACGTGTTGTGAGACTTTTTATATGTTTTTTTTTTCTCGACATATCAAATTTATGGCTTGATTTGCGCAATTGAATGTCGTCAACAAAAATGAACCCACAATCAAAGCAATCTCATGAAATAGCATGTTGCAAAAGTGCCTCACAGTCATTTTGTATGAAAATTCTACAAAACGATTTGAGCGCTGTTCGTATGATTACATGACGGCTTTCATTTGAACTAATGTGAGGTACATTTCAAAAGTAAATTGCAACATGCTATTTATGTTCTGTAACGCTGTGGAGATATGAAATGCTTACAATAACGATAGATATATTCAAAAAATTGCCGTATTTTATTTTCTTTCATTGATTCATATGATACATTTTTGCGAGATTTCAGAATATTTTTTCTGCTAATTTTTGTGAAATTAAATCAAGAACTATTATAAAATCTTATGATGCGGTTTTGTTTTGCACAATTGATCCCCCGAGTAAAATGTTGTTGGATCATCGTTTGCCTAAGAATACATAATATTCCTGCATGTGCTTGGCTTACAAATAACAAATATGTTGCAATTTGTATTTTAATTTTGTATAATTTGTATTTAATTATATGCACCCACAGAAACGAGTGTATTCTTCAAGTTTTGAGTCACCCTCGCCCAATCTGATATTGTTGAATAAATATAATTTCAGCACAAGGTAGGTATATCAAAGCAATTGATGTGAATGCCGTTCACTTTTGTGCATGTGTCTCTCGTGGGAGAATTAACGAAGAGCCACGATATTATATGTTTAATATTTCCTTTTGTATTCCCATGAAAACGCCGACACTTGTATAATACACGATGTCCTTTCGAGCAACTCTAGCATGTCAACATTTTAACACGCGTTGCGTTGCAATCCAGAGATTCATCCCTTCATGACTTGTATACACCCGTTGATGTTGTTATTTTGCCTTATCTTGAACATAATCTATCAAAATAAATAATATTGTGTGGCAGTAAATTCAATCAGCGTGGTTCCTATCATTGTTCATTCCTATATAGCTCAAACACATTTGGTTTACATTGCTCGTTATTTATGTAAATCTAATTTATTAATATTAATTTTAATCGATTAAACACAAAAAAATGTTTTATATTACGCAATACGCATTGCTTCAGCATTGACAATGATTAAGTTGATGAGGAAAAATATATCATCCACGCAAGTGAGCGAACTCCTCTCATAAATAAATGCACAACACACAACCAGATTACATTGGTGCAAACATGTGTATTTATTAAATTGTATGTAATTGAGTGTTTACATTGCATACAATCAAATGTTGCGTTGTTTTTTGTTATCGCATGGTGTATGATATCTATGCCTTGGGGAGTGTGACGAAGACACGTGACTAGTCGCGTGACAAGCTGTGAAAAGTTTGTGCATGAATGTGTTCAATAATAAAATGAAAAAGTTAAGATATACGTCCCTTGTAAGAACTTGTTGGCGTTACACGCCTTTTAATCGCAGCAACTAAACTGCTGATGAGAATTAAATAAGAGTCAAATAAATGCACATTGTGGTGCAAGTAGAATGCAGTACTCTCGGCCACACTCATTCGGCTTATATCGAGGTAATATACTGTAAACAAACCATAAACATGTAAATTTATGTATAGAATTTTAAGCTGGCGATTCAATACCCGTGTTATTTAAATTTTGGTACTAATCCCATTTTAAAATAAATCCCACTTCCCAATTTTAGCGAACACAAAAAATGTTTTACCTATTAAGATGGAAACAAAACATCTTTGGTTCATGGCTATTTACACTACAGAAATATTATGAAAAACCATACCTTAATTATTATTCGAAAACGATCAATCTTGCTAAAATTAAACTTATTGAAAAGATGATATACAACATTATATTGTTCCAAATTGTAGCTTTTAAGAACAATGAAATCAACAACAGACTTGAGAAACAGGCCAGGAGTCACATTTATTAAGAAATGCTGTGTTTCAAATGAAAAATATGTCGCAAACAAACGATCATTTTGTTCACATGTATACCGACCCCCCCCATCTCAAAAGCTGAGGGGTAAATGTTGGTACTCTGAATGTAATAAATTCGATTCGGATTTGAAACAATGGCAATTGATAAAATTCGTATTGAATCTTATTAACGAAAAGCTATTTTTGTTGACTTGTTTTTTTCACACTGCCGCAGCTGGCGCCTTTATTACGATAGTAAACTAATGCATAATTTTTTCCATTTCGACTCTTACAATTGTAAGATTCGTAAAAATTTTACGAATGTCGTTTTGCCATTCAAGTTAAAATTAAGCATGTGTTTTCGAAGGTATTCTCGATTTGTTACAGCAACTTTTTATATAATCGAATTTTAACCATTTGGCTGTATGCTTGAACAACAGCGCGTGCTATTTGACTCACACTCCCAGCATTCAACTCGTATTCAACGAAAAAAAGTATGAACACCGAAGTATATATTTCACCATCAAAACACAATGCCAAATTTTATCAATAAGAATCGAATGTTACACATTTTTATGACATTTTCAAAAGACTTTCTCGTTTTGTGTTGATTTTATTGCAATTTCAATTTTTCTAGAATTACTCCTACTCGGCACATATTGCAAAAGGTATTGCTTACTGCCTTATATTTATATGTCACCAATATATATGTCAATATTGAAAACACTGTAATAAATGCAGATTGATTTTAGGTAGATATAGATTTTTAAGCGAAATTGGTTTTGGTTTATTTATTATGGCATTCGTGCTGTTCATCAATTAGTTTTTCATTCAGATATAACAATATTTGGAATTGTTCATTTTTGGAATGAACAAAAAAGCTTCTATGGGTGTATTTATTGGATGAGCTTTTGGTAGCATTTGAGTTTTTAACAAAAACCTTATAAATTCATTCTAATTTCCTTATAAATTTATTCCTCATGGTGGATATTATTCTGTTGAATATTCCATTTTTTGTGATTAATTTTTGGTGCATCTCCATATTTCATCTAAAACTTCGAATAGAAAAAATAGTTTCATAGAAAAATCCGTGAGCTACTATGGTTTGCTGGATCACACTCACACGCGTAAGTTGATAGCTTGAGTCATTCCAAATGAAGCAAAGCATCCAAATTGTTTAAAGATGGAATAAATCATGTTGAAAGAACCCGAAACCCATTTGAGGTTTACAAACTGCATACCGCTAATCGAATATTGAGACTTTACGCAAGGATATATTTAAAATATGAATTTGTTGAATGCGTTTTAATCTGCAAAATGTTTAAAGGGGAAAACTTTTACAATGACAAAAATGCATGCATGAAAATAATAAGTAAAATTGAATTTAAACCAAAATTTATTGTTGGGATCGTATATGTGTTGAAAAGATTTAGTTCTCTGGTCCAAAAACTCTTTTAACATTTCATGACATATTCATTTTCACAAAGTAAAATATTCCAATATATTACCATTATTTTATATTCAGCACTTAAACTAATTTAATTATACTATCTGCATTCTGAAGTGATATATAATTTTAAAAGCATGTGCCCCGCATAGATATAAATGGGTTGACTGGGAGTGTGTATGTTTAGTCTTTATTCAGTCTCGTCCATGAGGCTGCGGACCGTTTTCATTTCTTTCAGTAACATTCTTACATCAGACCTCTCTATATTGATCTCATGGCTTGTTTCGGTCGGCACTCCATCGATAATTTCATTTTTTAGTTTGAATGTTATACAGGCACAGTTTATCGCATCGCTTGGTATGTCGAATGTCATATCGATAAGCTCGTTAACTTTAGTTAGAATAGACAGAAATGATAGTAAATAAAATGATTGGAATTCAAGTCCAATTTATCATGTCCAAGAAACTAATTTTATTTGCACATTTCATTCTCAATTGATGAGTTATTTTCATTTACCTGTTAAGCTATTTTTCGTTAGATATTCTTGAATATTACCACTTTGTTCTTTGAATACACGACAAATGGCAGAGGAATGTTCTTGAGGAAGGCCCAATTGTTGCAATTCTGTCGAAAATGTGGTTTCATCGGTACGAAATCTGGTCGCGTTCACTAACAAGAATCGAATACATGCCATTGCCGACTTTATGGACTTCAGGTCGTTTTTATTTGTCATAAAGGAACTTTTCAATTTGACTTCCTAAGTAAGTAAGTATTAGTTAAAATTTATTGTTTACAATATTTTCTGCAATATTTCTGACATACCGGAACTTCATCGCCTAATATACTACAAGCCACTAGTTGAGTTAAAATTTTCAACTTGACTGATGTGAGCATTGATAACGACGAATGAATTTCTGCAAGCACCCATTCCGGACAATCACAATCTCCACAAAATCGGAATTTCTATAAAAAACGAATGCAATGAAACAAATTATTTTCAACATGTTTGTAGACTTTGTGGGCTCCACAAAATCTGTCGTTATTTGTGATGCAATAAAGAATATTTAATCGACTGTAAATTTTAAATTGATGCATTCAATTTTATTTCGAATACAAAACGGAACATAGTACTGATATCCGATAAACACCTTCGTTATATTATGCAGTCTTTTTTTATCATGCCATTCAACAAAGAGCAATTTGAAATTTCAGATACATCAATTTCTTGTCAACGGTCAAGATTATTTCGGGCAAAAATTCTTGAAGCGGAAAATATGAAAATTCGTTTCCATAGAGGCAATTAAGTAATTGACAACTTTATCACAACTTCTCTTAGAAATTATTGCCATTGCATGACGTTGCTTGCAGCAACAGATTTCGCTTTCTTCAACTGGAAAATATTTTTCTGTTCTGCTCTTTTTCTTACTTTTTCAAAGGAATGTTCCGCGGATATTTCTATTACCGAGAGCACGTGGTTTGTGGAAGACACGTTTTGCGAAGAAGAAAAACAAAGCATTCGATGTTGTCCATTTTATATCAGTTTTCTGAATACTGAATACTTGAAAAAATTGTTCCTATTTTTCATGTAGTAAAACCAGAGAGGAGTAAATGTATATCAAATCATTGTATTGTCTATACTAAAGGTGTCAAACGGACGGACATTTGCTGTCCGTCTGTCCTTTTAAAAATTTATGATGGACAAACAATTTTGTTCGTCCGTTTGAAAATTTAAGACGGACAAAGTTTTTTGTTCGTCCGTTTGAAAATGTAGGACGGACGGACGGACATTTCCTACGGAAGGACGGACAAAAGTATATGTTCGTTTGACTCCTTTATGATATTTTGAATAAAACAATATCAGAAATGAGTTCCTCGTCGAAAACTAACCAGTAAACATCCCATCAGACCACACGCCGATTTTCAAATGCCTATGCGCGTTCGAAAGGGCATCCCTTAAAATCCCCAAAAACAAATTTCTAGCTGCCCATATTCATATTTGGGGTAGTTATGGGGTTATGTTTTTTTAGGAGTGAAAATCGTGTTTTTTACCTGTTAATGCACTTTTCTCATACTAAAAATGGTTTGGGCACAATGACGTGTTCATATGAAATGTTCAGAATACTCTGGAGAATCAAATGACACTTTGGGTGAATCTGCCCTCTACCCCTGTGACGCAAGGAAGGGTCAAAAAGTGAAAAAATAG